GAGTCCGTCTACCTGTCTGTGAGTTTGTCCTACCTGTGCTAGTCTATTTGTCTCTGTGTTTACCTGTCTCTCTGCTTCAGGTGTGTACGTAGTGTATAGAGGCAGACAGGTGAGTGATATCAGCCTGTAGGTTACCCAGAATTCTCTGTGCCTTTGAGGATCCTGTTGCCATGGAGGAGCTGGTGAAACACCTGTCCAGGTGTCAGCACATGGGCTGGATGAATGTGATTGGTGAGTTGGTGGTACTCAGTACCTGAGCCACCTGTATTACCTGTACCACCTTTACCACCTGTATTACCTGTATTATCTATACCACCTTTACCACCTGTATTACCTGTACTCATTCAGTTAGGGGGCGGAGCTAATCCGCTGTCAGGAGACTTGGAACAATACTGCAGGAACAACAACAACAACAAAACATATTAATAACAACCACTGATTGTCAGAGCAGCACTTTGTGGTTAGTAGTTGTGGCTCTTCAGAAAGGGAAACTAATGTTTTGGCATTAAAGCCGATAAATGAGCTGTTTTTAATTAATAGAAACAATAAATCAACATTTGAAGAGTCAGAACAGTTGTGGAAACAATAGTAATATTGATATTGGTATTAATACTAATATTGGTACTAATATTAATATTGGTACTGATATTGGTACTGGTACTAATATTTGTACTAATGTTAATATTGGTACTGGTACTAACATTGGTACTGGTATTAATATTGGTACTGATATTGGTATTAATATTGGTACTGTTCTGCTACTGTTTAATATTCTGATGTTGTGATGATGTCACAGAGCTGAAGAGCGCCTCCATCCATTGGCTGTCGTGTGGTCGGAAGGCGGAGCCTGATGTCTGGAGTAAAATGTTTTGCATCCTGTCAGATTCTCAGTTACTGATGCTCAACAACCTGGAGGTAAAAACATTAAATATGAACTGAAATCAATACAAATATCACAACAATATTGATTATAATCCAACAACCTGGAGGTAAAAACATTAAATATTAAACTGAAATCAATATAAATATCACAATAATATTGATTATAATCAAACAACCTGAGATAAAAACATTAAAAATGAACTGAAATCAATATAAATATCACAATAATATTGATTATAATCCAACAACCTGGAGGTAAAAACATTCAATATGAACTGAAATCAATACAAATATCACAATAATATTGATTATAATCAAACAACCTTAGATAAAAACATTAAAAATGAACTGAAATCAATACAAATATCACAATAATATTGATTATAATCCAACAACCATCCACTGTATCTGCCATTCGTATCATTAATAAGTCATAATAAAGTTGTTCTTCAGGTTCATCCTCTGCTTCTGGCCGAGAGGGTGGAGACTTGTACTGTCTGGTTGCTAAGATACACTCTGCATGTGACCTCAGCGCCTCCTCGCCCCGCCCACAAAGGTAAGGAAGACGTGAGGGGTTACAAAAGCTGCAGAAGAAGACAGACAGTTACAGACAGACAGGTACAGACAGAGAGAGAGAGACAGTCACAGACAGACTGTCACAGGCAGACAGTTACAGACAGACAGATGATGGAGGTAGAGTTTGAAGATTTGAACGGTAAGAAGAAAAATATATTTGTGTGTGTTTCAGTGTGTGTGTGTGTTTCAGTGTGTGTTTCACTGTGTGTGTTTCACTGTGTGTGTGTTTCAGTGTGTGTGTTTCAGTGTGTGTGTGTGTGTGTGTTTCAGTGTGTG